CCCCAGGCATGGAAGTCAAGTCGCCTCATTCCACTTCTAAAGGCTGGTAAATCTCCTTTGGATATTGCCTCATACCGTCCTATCGCACTTGCCAGTTGTGTGGAAAACGATGGAACGAATGATTCTAACACGAATGGAGTGGTATTTAGAGCACTACGAAATCTATCCAGTATCCATGACCGGATTCAGGCGCGGCCATTCGTCAATCGACAACGTTGTTGATCTGGTGACATATGTTCAACACCAGAAAGCCTGTAAGAGACTGTGCGCCGCCCTGTTTCTAGACGTTAAGGGGGCTTACGACAATGTCACCCATGAAGCCATCCTTAGTGCTTTGGAAACAGTAGGTCTTGGTGGCAAGATATATATGTGGGTGTACAGCTACTTACAGCTGAGATCATTTTACGTGATGACAGCGAATGGCCCAACACCTGATTATTACAGCAGCCGAGGAGTTCCTCAGGGAGGAGTGCTAAGCCCTACCCTTTTCAACTTAACTCTCATTGGTCTAGTCGAGCAGCTACCTAGCACTGTAGAACTTTCTGTCTATGCTGATGACATCTGCATCTTGACATCAGGTGTGACAAGGCCTCAGCTTCGCGCCCGCCTTCAGAAGGCTGCTACAACGGCGTCATGCTATCTTCGTAAACAAGGCCTCGAGGTGTCCTGCGGAAAATGTGCAGTGGTAGCGTTCACGCGGAAACCAATGTCTGCTTACAGTATATCGATTAATGAAGAATACATATCGTTCAGCAGAAGCCACAGGTTCTTGGGAGTCATAATAGATAGAAACCTGTCGTGGACTCCACACGTGAACTATGTGAAGAAGCGGTTGATCGCAACATGCCACATGCTCAAATTCCTTGCAGGAAAAAATTGGGGAGTGCCCATATCATCCATGCTACAACTGTACAGGGTGCTGTTTATCGGATTCTTACGGTACAGCTTACCTGCAATGTCTAACACCGGCAAGACCAACCTGCGCGCAATTCAGAGCATTCAAGCCCAAGCACTTAAGATATGCCTTGGAATACCCCGCAGTGCTTCAACGGCTGAAACCATTGCCATCGCTCAAGATCACTCGATAAATACGCATATTATTACCGAGACAATGCGCGTGCACCTCAGGCATTATGCCAGGACCCCTTCTCACCACCTGGCGAGCCTAGCTGCTGAAAGGCCCCGCACGACATACGGCACTATTGTCTCCAAGCATCGTTCATCGTTTGCTGAGACATACGCACCTGCATCAAAGCCACTGCTTCCTCCATGGAGCTTGAGCCGGCCGCGAGTTCACTTAGTGATTCCAGGAATGAGGAGAAAATCGGACTTACCGACACATGCCCTGAAACAACTGAGTCTATCCCTACTGGAAGAAAACTACAGTAACCACGTGCACATTTACACGGATGGCTCTACTACGCCGTCTAGTTCAGGTGGAGCAGTGGTTATACCATCACAAGGGATAACTCGGTGTTTTAAGACTTCACATGTGACGAGTTCGACGACGGCAGAACTCGAGGCTCTGCGCAATGCACTGGAACACATCAATTCAGAAGAAAGACCAGGTAAATGGGCTGTGTTTTCTGACTCAAAACCAGCGTTACAGTGCCTGATATCAATTCTCCGACGCGGATGCCACGACCAGTTGACCTACCAAACCGTGAAACTTCACCACCTGTTAATACAAAAAGGCCATGACATCGTCTTTCAGTGGTTACCTGGGCATAGTGGTATATGCGGCAATGATTCTGCAGATCATGCTGCTCGCACGTCACATAAAGAAGCGAACAGCGTTCCGATACCGCTTTCAAGAGCGGATGCGGCGAGGCAGATTCGTCAACTGGCCCGCAGTCTCACACTGACTGAGTGGAACACACCAAGCATACGACGTACACGACTGCACGAGCTCGACCCATCACTACAACTCCGGCCTCCACCCGGCCTACATCGACGTGAAGCTTCGCTTCTCTATCGCCTTTGGCTGGGAGTTGCTTTCACGAAAGCTTATACCACGTTAATCAGAATTACTGACAGTGCGGCGTGCGATGTTTGCGGCACCGACGAAAATATCGAACACCTGCTGTGTCATTGTCCTCGATTTGCCTCAGAGAGACAAGTACTTGCCAACGCAATGCGGCGACTGGATGATCGGCCTCTTTCTGTGCAGGTGCTATTACAGCAACGTACACATGCCTCGACAGCCCACAAGGCAGTGAAAGCCCTGCTGCGTTTCCTGAGAAAGACAGGCTTGTGTGAACGCCTCTGACATGCGGTAGATTTCTACACGCTGCAGTGAAATTACTGTCAGTCTCTCCCCCTCCCCCACCCCCTTTTTTCCCTCTCTTCCCTCTTTCTCGTCTTTCTTGTCCCCTTCCTTTATCCCCCAGTGTAGGGTAGCCAACCGGATGTCTTTCTGGTTAATCTCCCTGCCTTCTCCCTTTTTGTTGCTTCCTTCCTTCCTTCCTTTAAAGCTCACAGCGGCTCGTGCTTTCTCCACAAGCTTTATCCCGAGGTTAATTTAAGTAACCCGCGTAGAAAATGTGGCAGTTTAGCCACCTTGCACCGCATGCTCTGGGAGTGCCCTTCGGTACGCGGCGCCGATATAGCATCGACTAGTAAGTGGGACTCCACTCTCCGGAGTCCGGATATAACATCACAACTTTGGGCTGTCCAGATGGCCCACGATGCGGTGCTATAGGTTTCGGTCTTGCTGTCCCGTTGTGGGAGCGGCTCGCCGTGTGGTAGGGCGCACGCCTTTGGACTTTCAGAATAAAGTTTTTCCAAACCAAACTCGTGCTATAGTCTGTTGTCCTGAGAAAGTTTTGCAGTGTCTCGGTTGCTTTATTTATCGATGACTTTTCAGCATGGCATTGAAGAACAGTTTTTAGTGCCATCGTTCTGTTGTCAAGATGAGTGAGTGCGAATGAGAGAGGGGGAGAAAAAAGAGAACTTAATTATGCGGTAGATGGCTATCGTAGCCCCGCGAAGGAAGGGTCACATCACCTCGGCGTACCGCCCTCTACTCGGCAAGCAGCCCTCGCTACTTCCGCCTTGTACTGGCACTCGTGCCCGCCCCCGTGCTAGGGTGCCGCGAGCAGGCGACCTTATCCCAAGTTCGGCGTCCATTAAGTCACGCTCTTCTGGCTGCCACATTACTTTCTCTGGTTCCGCTCTCACCGTTATTTACCACAAGCATCTATGGCCTCAGAGGTCTGTTTAACCATTAATGATGGACGTCCGTCGTCGGTATGTGCGTGTATCACTGAGCGTCAGCGTATATGTATCCACGCGAAGTGACGGTGTAGCTGTCAAAAACAATGAACATTGTGCAAACTCTCCTGTATATCAAAGTGCATTAAACTACCTCTGTAAGGACTTGTTTTACTTTCGTGTTTTAGCGATGGCTATGACGAAGAGATACCATGTTTTTTTTTTACAATCGCACAAGATGTAGACAGTGACAGCTTCTTCCGATCCACACACGCCGGCGCAAGTCGCTCGTATGTTCATAGAACACACGTGCTTCGTGAGCTCTGGCGTAGGTAGCGACACAGTCAACAGTTGCCGGAATGTCAACGCCTCGCTTCGGGTCAGGCCCGGGTGACGCGGGAACATGGAGGGATTGCCTCTGCACAGCGTAGCTAGGAAAGTAGCAGAAGATAAGTTGCACCGTCTCCTCGCTACCGCAGGTGTCGCAAGGAGCGTTGTTAGCCATCCCTATCCGAAACGAATATGACTTCGTGAAAGCTACTCTTACCCCCGGATTCAGAAACGCTACTTGACTTGAACTTGACTTGCCACCGACTTCAATGCAGCACATGCGCGTTTTGAACGCGCTGTTTTTAGGCGGTTTCAAGGCAGCACAAACGCACAGACGCGTTTCAAACGCGCTGCATTGAACGCGGTTTCAAGTCAAGTTCAAGTCAAGGAGCGTTTATGAATACGGGGATTAGCCACAGGCGGCTCGGCAGAGAGGCCTCTCTTCGGTGGAGTGCAGTGGGTATTTGAAATCACCGCAATGCGTTTAGGTGGTATTGCCAATAGTTTTGGCTTCTTGACGTTGTCAGTGTCGTCTGCGAACTATCCCTTGCGATTCTTCGAAGTACGACAGGAGCATCACACGTTGAAACGGTTGTAGCCTCTTCCTTGTGACCTCGTAATGCCGAGAGCGCAGTATTATCGGCACGTTCGTTGCCAATCACGTCGAAGTGGCTGGGCAACCATTGAAATGTCACTTGGTGCCCCTTCTCAAATGACGTGTGAATATCCTGTCTTATCTCGAATACCAGTTGTTCGTATAGTCCACGCTGCGGAGCTGACAAGAGGGATTGTAAGCCTACTTTGGAGTAACTAAAATATGACCGTCTCAAAGGTTGTTCGCGACAGTGCAACGCGAAGAGCAACGAGTTCCGCAGCCGTTGTTGTTGTTGGATGGTTGATTTGATTGATTTGTGGGGTTTAACGTCCCAAAACCACCATATGATTATGAGAGACGCCGTAGTGGAGGGCTCCGGAAATTTCGACCACCTGGGGTTCTTTAACGTGCACCCAAATCTGAGCACACGGGCCTACAACATTTCCGCCTCCATCGGAAATGCAGCCGCCGCAGCCGGGAATCGAACCCGCGACCTGCGGGTCAGCAGCCGAGTACCTTAGCCACTAGACCACCGCGGCGGGGTTTGTTGGATGGTCGGCCTTCAAGCTAACAGTTGCAGGAGCTCTCGCTGGCACAACCACCACTCCTGATTTCGCAACTGGAAGAAAATATAACGAGAGATAGGCAGTAATGCTGTAAGCTTCCTATAGTAATGGCAGATATAACTATGAGATAAATATAGCAAATTAAGACCCAATATGAAGCGCCTTACACGTTTCAAGTGTACGTGCATTTTGTTTGCTTTTTGTGCATCGCGTCAACGATCCTTCACGCAAGACAGCGTTCATATATACTTCATCTTTTAACACTTCCGTATGCTTCTTTCTTTTAATCCTTGTAGCCCAACTCCCGTCACGAGCATCGTCATCACGAACGAAGAGGGCTACATCGTCCAGGAACACGAAGTGGCCAACAAAAACACACTGTCGGCCGACAACAGCACTCAGGTCTGTGACCTAGTTGCGTAATTTATGATGTTACTCATCTTCCCACTGGTACTACCAGCATTGATAGTAACACCATTAATACTCCTACTTCTCTGACTACTCGTAATACTGCTACCGCCACTACTACTACTACCACCACCACATGTATTACTATACCACTACTCTTGCTACTATAACTACTACTAATTATACTGCTATTAAACGGATCGCTTCTAGTTCCACTTTTTATTACAATTCATACGTAGCTATTCATGGTGTCTTTACGTCGTTTGCTTTATCCAGGGTCAGGGCAACAAACTATAAGTTTTACTTCCAGGTGTCTTCTTTCTTTCTCTCCCTATATCGTTCCCACAGTTACAGCTCTTGCTCTTCAACCTCCCGTATATCACTTGCAACCTTTTTCATGCTACGTTTTCTGATGCACCACTTTTCCCTTCCCAACATTTCTCTGTCTCTCTCTTCACTGGCATCCGACAAACACAACCAGATTCCTGCAGCCCTACACACTTCCTGTCCCGCTACTTTCTCCTATCTAGCATTTCTTCCTCATTCTCTACCCGTTTGTTCTTTCCAATATCGACCACTGTTTCGAAGGCACCTCATCTGCTCTGTTCCTCGACTTTTCTGGCCGTGTTCTAAAGGAAACGTGCTGTATGTGTGTTTCCGTGTGTAGGCGGAGAGGGGGGGGGGGGGGTTGTTCTCCGTGAAGGCATTGCTTCGTGTTCGCCCCAGTTTGCAGCTTTCAGTGTACCTCGCGGTCGATATTGAACAGCCAGCTCTCCGAGGTGTCTGCGAGCCGCGGGCCGTGTTTCTTGCTTTGAGACGTGACGGCGAACGACAGCGAGACACGTTATCGACGCGAGAATAGAGTTTGGCTAGAAGGAAACGAGAAATTTTTCATAAGAAGATGCACGTGATGCACGTGTAAACACACTGAACACTTTTGTGAATGATGGCGTAAATGTGTGATACACAGTGACGCGTTACTGATCACAATGTACATGGACTAGGTGACAAAAATTTGGATTTGTTTTGAATCTGCACATTTGAAAAGCGTTCTCGCGTATATTGGTGAAACCGTGACCGACGTTGATGTCGTATTGTAGCCCGGAAGTGTGTTGTTGACGAGCGAGGGTAAGGACGCCGTGTTTACTGTATATCATCTCGTTTTCACTCAAATGGAGAAATGTTTCCGTTTTGCACTAACTAATATGTAAGGACTGTGCAGTAACGTTTTTTTTTTGCTTTCATTGTTTTCGTTTATTGCTTGGAGAGGCCATCAGGCGCTGGTGTGTAAAATGAGTCTTGGTTGAAACTACGCCTGCGACCCAATCGCACCTACTTCTGTTTTTTCCGACCTTTCAGCTTCCATTCGATTGATGCAGCCAAACTGCACCTTGAAATTAATATCACTAAGTAAAAATAGCAGGGTTATATAGTGGCACCGAACTTTAAACTGGACAGTTTGCAGTGCCTTTCTTACGAAAAGGGATCCCAATAAAATTACTTCTTTTAACGAAAGCTGTTAAATATTTTCGATTCCGGGCAGGTTTGCGCTGTGTGGACCAAGATACCGAAGGTGTACCGGCGGCTTCTTCAGAAGGAGAAGCTCCACATGGCTCTGGTCACCAACGGACATCCCAACGGACTGGTGGCAGGCCGCATTGTGCAGTCTACTAGGCTCGAACCAGGTACGTGAGTACATTCGCACGTCCTCACACTCATTTTTTTTATAAAGTTTCTTTTCGAGTTTGGAAATCGCGCCCTTAGGCCGAGTACAACGCGGTTTCTTAAGTGCACGTACAAATTCACTTCGTGTATGAAGTCTAAGAGTGAGCGATAGAACGATCTGTGAAGGTCAGGCGATCGCCCAGGCCTGGGGTCTGTTACATGGAGATTATGAAGACGGCTTAAATGTAGTTCTGTACAAGTCCACAGAAAGTCTGTATGCATGGTTGCATGTACGGATTGTGACGCAACTTACATCGGTGAGACAAAATATTTCCCGGAAAGGATACGGCAACATCGAAACGACGTGCGTAGCTTCAGTGCTGCACGAAACGCTCTCGCAGAACACAGTGAAAATACGGACCATCGCATCAATTTTGACGCCACCTGGGTCATCGGCATGGAAGCTAGCCACACAAAAAGGCAGTTCTTGGAGTCCTGGCATATCAAAACAACACATGGAAATTTTAGGCGCTCAACTGGGACATTGCCGAGTGTATACGTGCACAATCTACGAAACCAGTGGAGAAATCACCGCAGCAACAAGAACGGTGGGAAGAAGGACCATGGAAAGGGAACATCACCTAGAAAAGTCGCTAGCTTTGGAGCTAGCCGAACAGTAAATGAATTCCTGAAGAAGCAACCCAATCGGTTCTGAAACCTCTGGTCAGTTCATAGTTTTCAAATTTTAACTTTAGAAACTCTGCACTAAAAGCGGCTGTAGAGTTTGATTTGTATGAATTTTCACCCAGCCAGACAGATCTCTGTCGAATATGTCCGCCTTTGAACACTGAAATTGCAACCGTGGCAATGCACAAGGCCTCAGATAAGACACCCGTAAACACACACGGAGCCTACAGCATGTTTTTCGGTGCCTTCTCGTGTGTGCTCGCATGTTGCGCTGTCTGGAAACTGTAAAACCAAGAACCTTTGCTGTTTCAATCGAAGACGGCACGCATAACGCGGAATAAACTGAACTGTACAAACCACTACCGGAATGTTTGCTTTCGGAGGACTGCCATTAGTTGCGAAGCGAAAACTATGCATCGTCAACAACAGTGCATTCTCTTCGCCTTCTTCTTCGTGTCCTGCTTCACTTCCATAACATGTGTGCCGATCTGTCCGGCGTGGGATGAAATAACATCGATGGGCGGAAGAATTCGTACAGAGAAGAAAACGAAATAAAAAGAAAATGCTGGGAGAGAAATGTAGAAAGAGAAATTAAGACAGAAAGAAAGAAGAAAGCGGGAGAAAGCATAGATTAGGGACGTATAGTATAGCGAAGAGGGAAATGGGAAGTCAAGATGAGAAAAAAGGGAAATGGGGATGTATAGGATAGCAATATTTTGTTTCGCGGAGGAGATAAAAGTGGAGGAGACCGCTACGAGCCTCGCTGTTTCCTCGGTCTTTTCACGGATAGTGGGTACCTGCCACAATTTTTCTTTTCTAGTGGTGGCTTGACCTCTAGTTTGTTCAAATCAATGTGTCATCTGGCCCACCAGCGTGTTCTCCTAACCCACACATTACATAGATTTAGAGATGTTCAGTTTGTTAGTCTACATTTTACTGAGCTTTCGCTTTGTTCGCCTGGCTATATCCGCACCAAGTGTCACATTAAACCCGCGTGCCTGCGTTGGTCCCCAATGATGGTCCCCAATGATAGTGACAGAGCAAGCGAAAATACATCTCCTGCAATGACGATCTCTCAGGAAATGGATCGATTTCATGGTTTGTTAAAGCGGAAGGCGTGTCTTCCTCTGTAGAACATTTATTTTGACAAAATCTCGCAATCATTATAACACTCCCTATTCAGCGAAGACACTGCAGCTAAGCAATCATACCGATTCAAAATCCTCATCGTTTCATTCAGGAGAAGTCGGACTGTCTGAGAAATTTTCTGGATTTGTAAAATTTGTAAACCTCTAAATAAAAAAAGAACTGCTTCGGTCGGCGCGACTGAAAGAAGGAAAAGAAAAAAAAAACAGAAAGGAAGAAACACAACAAGAAAAAAAATTCCAAAGTGGGAATGGATACATAAATAATTCCAGGAGCTCAGGTAACAGTCCGCGGGCTTTTTACGCAGTCGCCACCGTTCATACACGCGTAGTACATGTTCGAGCACCGGATCCGTCGATGTAAACTGCAATCTCGCAAAGCTGCTCATTCTCCGTACGTCGCTATACGCCTCACTTCATCACCTTCAAGCGCGCGAGCGAATTCTTCGTGATATATATATATATATATATATATATATATATATATATATATATATATATATATATATATATATATATATATATATATATATATATATATATATATATATTTACAAACACGAACAGTGATCCGCCGTCGCGCTCTACCTTTAATGGCGCTGACGATGTGCGTGGCACCCGGTCGAGCTTTTTCTCCGACACCCTACTTACGCTCGGGTGAACCGCTACAGGGCGACGCGGCAGCTCTCATTAAAACGGAATTCCCGTGCGTCCGCCTGGAAGAGCTCGCTTCTCTCCGGGGCGCTACCTTTTCATACAGGCCCTTCCCCCTGTTTTATTTCTAGTGTTTCTTTTTGAACGCCACTTCGTCGTTGTTATTACCTTGTAACGGCATAGGCGTAATTTTGTTTCTTTCACTCCAAGTGGCTCGCGTATTCGCGAAATAGGCTGTTTCGTCGTGTCGGAAGAAAGAGCAGATGAAAGGAACAAAAAAACGAACAAAAAAGGTGAGATGCAGTACCTTCGCATGAAAGTCGCCCGCATGTGCTCGTATAAGCGCGCGTCTTATCCTCATCTCCCTCGCTCTCTCCGTTCTGTTTCATCACCAAGCCCGTTTCGCTGACCACCTCGACGAGGAATGACTTTAATTTTGAATCTGAGGAAGCCATCCGTGCTTAGAAGTTCTTCGGTAGCATTGTACATGACGCGCGCCATGGTTGCATCGCAGCAAAAAAGTAGCTGACCAATGAAAATTCGTATCGTAAGAGTCAGGTACGTGCGAAGGCCGGATGCGTATACAGCTTACCGCGTGTCTTCTTTAAAGGACGCGAACAGGTCCATATTCACAAATCAATCTAGTCCTTACCCCGAGTTCTCCTTGTCGGTATACACCTTTATTTAGCTCCTAGAAGTTTCTAAGAAAAACGCAGAAAACTAAATGGTGGATGCTAATCTCGGGTATGAACTATGTCTCCAACATTTATCCCGACATTGCTTTGCCGTTTATGCCAATATGTGCCGACTCTTTGCACTGCTGATATTTATAGAAAGCCGTGTGATACTGCGCCGCTCGGCTTTATAGTAGACATGTGTTCTCTGTACCCTCTCCGCCCTCTCCCCTGTAGAGTAGCGAACTGGTCTCAGAATGGTTAATTTTCATCCATTGTCTCACCATTCTAGCTTCTTTACTTCGGAAAAAAGATAGCATTTGTTGATCTTTCGGTGATTCTTGAATTGGCACATACATGACCAAGAATTAAATTTAAGAGGCACGTTAACTTTCCTTTTGGATGACACGACACTCCGAAGAGAGCTTTATGATCCCCTAATACAATTAACGTGTCCTTTCAGAGAGAACGTTATATAAATTGCAACTGAGGGCTCGCAAAAAAAAAAAAGGACGAGACACAAAAGAATTGTTGATTTGTTTTTTGTTTGTTTTTTAGTGTGTATGCTTCGCCGCTTTGTCGGCTAGCGCTGTTTCAAATTCAGCGTAAACAGAGTAATATTCTGAACAACTGTAAATGGTATTCATCACTTTACGTCATGCATGACTCGTGCGCATGCAACTAAGTATGCTAAAGGCTGGCGAGCTTGCGCAAAACAACAGCGCGCCACCAGGCACTCATCAACGTCCCCCTCCAGTCCACGCCACGATCGTTGTTTAACGCAAGCAACTGTTCGCAACTGTGTTTTCTCGGTTGCTGAACCACCGTATTACGCAGCGCGCATCCTCTTCACGCGCATTATACGGAAGCGCTCGGTAGCTGCCACGGCGGACTGGGGGCAAAACACGCACGCACGACTCTCCGTCAAATCTTGAATTCCGTGCAGTGTTGTGAAACGCTTTCGGGTAGCGTAAGTCAGCCATAAGCGAGATGCCGAATACGATGTGCGTTATGATGAACCACTCACCATTGCCTTTTCTGAGCCACGTTGACAGAATGCTGAGTTCTTAATTTCTCACCGTTTACAAATAATGGTGTAGCGGAGCCGTGCTGAGTAATAGCAAAAGTAATTGTAACACCTTGTAACCTTCAGTCCAACTACAATTCGTTCCAAACTTTTTTCCCTTAATCGCAGATTTCGGCGTCACACGTGGAAATTCTGCACCCGCGAGCGTTTCGCGGCCTTCGAAAATGCGCGGCAGCTAAAGAGAAGCTAAAACGAAAAGGAATAGCCGAAGAAGACCTTCAGTAGATGCAGGGAACAAGGAAAAACCAACAATGGTGTGCCTGTGGCCCGGAATGATTACTTTGGTCTACAAGTTGTACCGGAGCCATTGCGCCCTCGCAACAACGGACGGAACCGAAGGAACTACGAGAATGGTGTTAATATTGTGAGAACATATTGCTATCTCGTTGATCCCCTGCAAAGAAGATGTCTTTTTGCACGGCCAAATAGGGAATAAATCAAATGTGACAGTATATAGCAGCCAAATCCCAACTGAACTCGTCAGCGCTGATGTTAGTTATATAAAAACTCTTTAGCAGCAATATAGGTAGTAGGTATCTTGGTAACAGAAGCACAACGTCAAAAATTTGTTGGAGCAGGGCGGGCCATATTCTCAGCAAGGGAAAAAAATGCATTTTTTTTCCTGTCTCATATACAATGGACTTGACTCTTCTAGAAACAACAACAACAAAAAACACGCCAAATTTACACGTCAAACATTCCAAGAATGGTTGCCTCCATATTCCCGATAGGGCAAGGACTCAGATTTTTTTTTTCCGTTGGCCGACGCTGAA